TCGTTTCGGCGAATGGCGACATTTTGTTTGCCCTGTACACAAAATCACTATATTATGTTGTGCTCTAAATTATGTACACAAGGTTCTGTTTTTATGGCGGCTATATAAATAAAAATGCAATTTTAAAAATTCATAATCTTAAAGCGATATAATTTTTTTTTTTTTTTTTGAAATAGATTGAAAAACTTGATACATTATTGCAGAGTGTCTGAGTCAATGATTAGATAAATTGCAGATATATATGTGCAGTTTTATTATGTTATATTATATTCGTACACTTTTATACTTAAATATATTTAATTACCTTATGTTTTTTTAAATTTATTGTAGTTAGGTTCACAATTAATTAAGTTTTTTACAATAATTTTAAGGCATAAGATCATTTTTATAGGCACCTAAACTGACAGTATGATATGCATAGTTTTATTAATTTATCTAGTATCGAGAAAATTAAATATCATATCAAAAGTACCTTGAATGATATAGATTATCATGGATAAATAAATTTTTATGTACCTTTAACTATTTTAGTAAATAGTTTACTATATAAATGTATTACAATGATTAATATTGTTCAAGTAAAAAAAGATTCTAACAAATTAAACCTTTTGAATACTGGTAACTGAGTTTTATCATTTTGAATCTACAAGTTCTAACATAAATAGTTCTCACGATGATTTCTAAAATCGTCGCTATCATATACCAAAAGTGACCAAGTGTTGTTTTATAGTTTTGAGAAAAGCTAGTTTGAATATTTAACGTCCATTTAAAAGCACAAGACTTAACAAATATTTACAAACCTGGTATAAATAAAACTGTAAAACTAAAATAATATACTTAACATCATTATATAAAAGTTTTAAATTAATAATATTACTTTAATTAGTAAATCGTAATTTACCAACTTAAATTAATAGTAAAAAGTGACTATTTAAAAATGTTTCACTAGTACACTTTTAAAAGTGACCAAGTAAAAAAATATGATTAACTTAATTATTACATATTTTGTTAAAATATAAGATCAATTAAACGAATATTTTATTTAAATCTTTAAAATAAAAAACTTTATTTATATTAAAAATATAATTAAATACATAAATTTATACTTTTTAGTCACATAAAAATTGTACATCTCCTTTAAAAAAAAAAAACTTTAAATACATTAAAAAAACGATTATAATCTAAATGTTTTAGCTACCTAACCAATAACAAGAATTTTGTGTATCACAATAAATAATATTAATACTAATAAACAACATTTTTAATTTAAAAATAAAAACAGATCATATTTTTATAATATTATTTAGATTTTAAAAAAAATGTATACTTTACCTAAAATATAACTTACTAGTAAATTTTTAACTAAACTAGCTGTAGTTTCTTATTTTACAATAATCAGTCTTAAAATAAATGTATTAATAAAAATCATTTTTAAATTCAGAAGTTATTATTGTACCCTTTTGTTTTGTACACGTCGGAATACTTTGATACCACTCGTAAAATTCTACTAAAATGGCTTGAGTCTTATACAACTTCATGAGATTTTTTTTTTCAAAGTTGAAATTGGTCTTGATTTGTCTTTTAATTGTTTACAATTAACAGGATGTTTATTGGTCTATAGACTATCCCTTCCACAGATACATATATTCTTTTAAACTCTTCATCTGAATAATTATATTTAAACTGTACAATAACACTTGTAAACTCAATTTTCTCATATTTTAAAACCTTAATTTTTAATCAATTAACTTCAATACCTTGTGTATCAGTTGAACAACTTTTTACTTTTTATTATCAATCTCGTTAATCTTTTAAAATTTTAATTCATGAAAATCAGTAGTATTTTAATTCTTGAACTGAGTAACTCGAACATTTTTTATTATACCTATTAGAATGAACTAGTTCACAAATATTAAGTCAATCATGCAAAGTATAAACAAGCATATTTTTTACATATAAAAATAAAGCTACAAAAAGTGATCAACTCGGCACTTGAACAAAAAGATTACTATTAGAACTCATAAAAAGAATGACCAAGTGATTGTCAGGTTTTACTTATTCGATTAATACTAAAGGACAAAATTATGAGTTAAGTGGTTCCTTTACTATTTATTAAATCACTTGGATACTTTTTTTATGCATTTATAAGGATGCAAAAATAAATTTAAACATGTTTTTACACTTGGTTACGTTTAGCACGATGGCGATGAAATGTCCCCCGGTGCAGCAGAGCTTATATATGATTTTGTGTAAGCTTAATGTAGAATTGTGCGGTACTGAATGTTTGGAAAAAGGTTCTAGTCAACCCCAATATAACGGGAAAAAAATGTACTATTAATTTACAACTACTTATAATATTAAAAAAAATATAGCATAGGTTAAATGTATTATAATTGAAAATAAAATACTGAAAATGAAAATAAATAGAAAAAAATATTGAGAAACTATAATAAGTTCGGTATCCTTTATAATTTCAAAATTTAATGATTTTAGAAAGCAATAATTGCTTTATCAATTATTGATAACATTGTGAATGAATTAAAAATTTTAAGATTATAATGATATATTAATAGTTGATGAAAATAAATGTTTATTTCTATTGTTGAAAAACTCTAATACGGAATTAGAAAAACTTTAAACTTTTAAAATTAACTCTTTTATTTCATAAAAAATCATACTGGTAAAATTAGCAACACTTAATAATATGGAAAAATTTAATTTGTGATGTAAAATATAAAAAATTAACAATGAATAACTTGTTAGTTTGGTCGAACGAAAAGATTCTTATCAATGAACGTCTTACAAAATCAAAGAAAACACTTATTACTCAGACCAGATCTGCCGCAAAAGATAAAAAAAAAACAAATTTGTCGCATCTAAAAAATAAAAAAAACCTATCGAAAATCAAATATTATCAAAATGTTGAAAACTTATAATTATTGTACATTTATGTTCATGCATTTATACTCATATAATATTAAAATCTTATAATTTATATGAATAAAAACTTGTTAAACATAAACACATTTAAATGTAAAAAATATGAATTCCAGTTTTATGGATTATATAACTGATAAATTCTTAATTAGTAATAAATTATAAATTTTTCAAATAAATAATACTCATTTCAATAACTTTAAAATGTTACTAAACTCAATAAAAACCTTTTTTAGTATTATTGTTTTATGTGAAACATGGCTGTTGAATGAATATGAATTTAATTAGAATGGTTATAAAACAATTATCCAATAAAATTAGAAAAACTAAATAAAAGTGACTGTATCACAGTTTTGATTAAAAAATCTCTAATTTTACTACGAATTTAAAAACAAGTACCTAAATACAAAATAATAATTTAATACTTTTTAAAATGAAATCAAATAAATTAATATGTATCATTATTTATTAATAATAGCATTGATTATAAATTGTCATACTAAATATTACGTATATATATATATATAATTTAGAAATTTTCATCAAAATTATAAATTTGTTCTTATCATAAGCAAAGAATACATATTTAAATGTTATAAATGGCAAATGGGTAATATTAATATAGTAATAATGAAAAATTCAAATATTAACAGTGATTATATAAATATTAGGGCTAAAATTTAATATACAACATGTATAAATAATTTTACCAGAATTACTAAGTCTTCTAAAACTTGTATTGATCATATTATATATTAAAAACATAGAAATTAATTAAATAAACTCAAATATATTAAGATATGAAATAACTAATAATTATGTTACTGTTTTAATTTTTATCTATTATAAATTCTCATAACAGTAATTCTTGTAATAATTAAAAAATAAATAAAATGAATATTGATCAATTTGTTTGAATCATAAAAATATGTTGAACTTGATAATAAGGAAATCAAAAAAAATTATATTATCAAAATAAATTACAAAATACTCAGTCTGATATTTTAAACAAGTTAAGAATATTATCATTTATGAGGTAATTGGGAAATCAAACGAAAATTGAAACACAATAATACTATATCATTATTTAATTATCAGCGTCAACTACGAATACTTTATACTATGAAGTAAATAAAGCTTTTAGGAATATTTACATTTGGTTTAGTAAGAATAAATTAAAACTAAAGTTATTCAAATCAAAATATATTTTGTTTTAACAGATAGAGTTTAATATTTTAAATAAAAACTGCAGTTTAGAAGTCTATTCTTTACAATTTAGTTTAATTTTAAGCAGTGCGTGTGATTCTTAATGTGTTGAGCTCGAAAATATGAAAAAGTTAAAATACCTTGGTTTAACTATAGATTATACACTTAAATACCATAGCCATATTAATTATATTATAAATTCTTCTTTGTGTTCCTAGAAGTAAAATATACATTCAATAAATCAAATAAAAGAATGATTTATCTATGTTCAATCAGTCTATTTATAAATTCATTGTTAAATATTTATTAAATATTAAATACATCTATGCAAACATCTACTGTACAGCAGAACAGTATCCATTTATCCACCTTTTTTTTTTTGTCATTTCATTAACATTTAAATGTGGAATATATTATATAGTGTAAAAAATCAAAGACAACTTTTGACTATTACACGAATAAGAAAGTTAATTTACTTGTGTGTAATTCATTTTTTATTCATTGGTACTTAAATAGATAATTCAGCTATGTTTTGCTTACCATTTTAATGTAATTACAAAATATAGATATATTTATTGTTTGTATAAATATAAATAATATACCTAGATGAATATTTTGTATTTTTATACAATTTTTATTTTAATTTTTAATACATTATAATATTGTTATTCTTAGTGCGCCATCTATAAACAAAATCATGCACAATTCTTAATATTATTTTACAGATAAAAAAAAACTACACATTTACTGATAACAATTTTTTACAAGTTACAATTTATTTTCAAAAACATCGTCTTAGATTTAAAATTAATCTTATAATGATATAGTTAAATAACTAACATTATAAATAGAAAATTGATTAAATTAAGTGTAAACAATGAATATTTTTGTTATTTCTTAGATTCTTAATTTATATTTGTATTTAAAAATGAACGTCAATGAGAATAATTCTCAAAACAAACCTAACTTGGCTACAGAGGAATAGTAAGTGAATTTTTGTTATCTATTAAATAATTTTATTTACCCTCTAAAAGTTTGCTAAATTCATTTTCTAAAATATTTATTTCTTCTTGTAACTTAGTTCTAACATGTTGTCTCTTCAATGAATCTATTAATTCCAATTGTTTTCTGAATCCTGTAATTAACACATCTTTTTCTCTAACACATTTTGCCAAAATATCATCATTCTTTGATAATGCTTTTATATACTTTTCTTCAGCATCTTTATGAGTAGCTTCCAGTTTTTTTACAGTTTCTTTTAGTTGTTTATTCTCATCTGAGGTTTTTATAAAAACTGATTTTTGTTTCTCATGCATGATTTGTTCATGTTTAAATTTTCTTTCTATGCATCCTATTTCTTTCAGTATTCTGTTCACCTCAGAATCTCTAGTTTTCAATGTTCCCGTTAAAGTTTCAACTTCTTTATCATGTTTCCTTATTTTTTCTTTGAGTAATAATATTTGATGAACATTTTTATTTTTTTCTTCAGTCAGTTTTTTGTTTTCTTCTTGTAAATGATCATTTAAATCATCTTTTTTCACTAGCTCATTGTTTAAACGATCAATTTCTTTTTGTAGCACATAATTTTTAATAGTTATTTCTTTACTAGTAACAGTTTTAAATTCTTCAATAGTATCACCATTGTCAATAATTTTCATAAATGTATTAAATTCTGAAGATCTAATTGGTTTTGATTTATGTTTAACATCTGGTATACTATGCTTATCATAATCATCCATCTTACTTTTCATTTCATTGATTTCATCCATAAATTTTTTTGTTATTTTGTTATTTTCCTCATACTTCATTTGTAGTACTTCTTCATTTTTTGATATTTCCCTTTGTTCCTTTGGCATGCGAGCCATAATTTTTGTGCTTAATTAATAATTAAGAACCCACTGTAATTTAAATATCTACTATATTATTTATTTTTTATTGAAATTAATTATTAATGAAATTGTTTCATTTTAAATTGATAGAATAATAATGAATACATGAAAATATTGCTTTGTTTACATTATTCTGTGTCTTAATGATTATGGTAACTATGACATTATCAATTTACAGTGCTACCAAAAAATAATAGTTTTACAGTTCCAAACTTTATAATATGTAGGTATAAAAATAAATAAGTATCTATATTATATTCTTTAAAATTTCAGTTGGAATGATACTTACAATGTAGAATTGGACAATTTCAAAAACTTTGGCGACCCTGGTGCCGAATGGTTTGGCCATAGTATAGGACTAAAGATGATTAAGTAAGTATAGGTCTAAATGTTAAATGCAGAAAAATTGAACAAAAAAAAATTACTAAATTATTGATATTTGATGAATATCATTAATTTAAAGATGTTGTCTGTTAATATATAAAAATGGCAATAAAAAAAATGATATCTTTAAATGACCATTTAAAATTATTAAATACCTAGGTATCATTACATATACATTATAATAATACATTATGGAGATATTTGTGATGCCAAATCTATTAAGTCTCAAAACTAAATTTACCTCAATCATTGAACACAAGCTTTGAATAAGACTTTAATTACTTTTGGACAAAATCTAATTTAATAAAGTTTGTTTAATAAAGTTTTTAAAAATAATAAACTATATGATTTAGGATTTTAAAATGATATAAAAAACAAAATAATTGCAAGATTGAAAGATTCCAATCTTTTCTTAACCCCCAAAAATTTCTCATTAAATAGCAAACTAATATGCCCTGATTATATTTTAAAAGTAAATTAAATAAATAGAAAGCTATTTCTGACGTATAAATTGTCAATAATTAAATATTAATTTTATCTTTTTTTCTTAATTTAACGACTCAATACCTATTCTTAAGTAGGTATTGGCATATTTTTCCATCTAATCTAAGTGTTAATTATATTATAATTGTTAACATTTAAAATTATAAAACATCTTTTTCATATTTATGTTAACTTCAGTTATAAATAATTTAACAAAAAACTTACATGTTTTATTTTATTAAAATCATAATTTCAAGAGAGCGATTTTTACTATCGTCCTTAAATTTTCTTTAAAATAATTTACATTCCACATAAATTTAAAAATATCTAGAAAGATAAATTAATTTAAATTTCTAGATCACAAATAATTTTTTCAGTATTTTTCACATTCACAGTATTGTTAATTTATTCAATCCTAAATATAACATTCTTCAAAATTTTAAGTTATAAGTTATTCAACCTGTAAATTTCAAACTGAATTATTACTATTTTGTTTTCAAAACATACATTTTTTCATATTTTTCATATTTAGTGTAATTTACTTAAGCTTAAATTACCTCATTTATTTTAATTTTAAACATATTCAATGTTCAATAGATTAACATTTTATCTTAGTTTCTTATTTTATAATATTATTCTAAATAAGCTACTAAATTTTGTATGTTTTCTATGAAATTTATGATTTTTGTATTTCAAAAGAATCTTAAACATTAAGTAATGAGAATTATAAATGTGTAGAAAAGAAATTAGGATAAAGATTATTCACATTGATTATATAAATACTAGAGTTAAGAGGATAGCAGATTTTCCATTTTAGATTGTGTATGTTTAGTCATCTATATTTTAATTAATACAAAGCATATATATAAACTAATTAATTACCTATAATAACTAATACATTTTAATAAATTAATGTTAAAATATATATAACCAGATTTTGTTTTCATAGATTAAAAAAATAAATTATTTATTCAAAATATATTTATTTATTTTTTATAGGTGTATACAATCAAACTGTAAAATTAGTCAAGAAGATCCCATTTTAGATGTTGGATGTGGAAATGCTTTACTTTTAACTCAATTAGTAATTATATTTTTATTTTGTTATAAATATGTGTAATAATTGGTGTAATTAAAAAATAACAATTGTTATCAGGCTAAATTAGGATTTTCCAATCTGTATGGCATAGATTATTCAGCACCTGCAGTAAAATTAGCAAATTCAATAGTTAAAAATCAAAAAATAGATAATATAACACTAAAGGAATTTGACTTTTTGACTGATGATGTAAAAACATTACCGACATTTTCATTGGTTTTGGATAAAGGTACTTATGATGTTATTAGTATGGACGATGAAAGTAAAGAAAAGAGAACCAAATACAAAGAAAATATTATCGACTTATTACAACCTAATGGAATGTTTTTAATTGTTAGTTGTAATTGGACACAATTAGAATTAAATGAACAATTTGGCGATGGTAAGAAGTATTGACTATTAGTTTTATTTATTAATAAAGAATAAAGAAAATAATTATTTTTCCTTTAAGCATTTCGAGTTGTTCACACTATACCAACTCCGTCATTCCAGTTTGGAGGAGCTGTTGGTAATACATTGTCAGCCACTCTTTACCAAAAATCATAAAAGAAGAAAAGTATTGTGTTTTATTCAATGCTGATTAATTTACTATTGTGGTTTTTTTTGCAATAAACTCTAAGCTATTTGATTGTGGTTATTTTGCAAGACAACAGCAACTAAAATCGCCAAACATATGGATACCATTGCTCGAACACCACCTGCAAATATAATTTAATACATTTTATTGTAGTGAAATAAACCATATTAAATTAATTCTGTGTTATTTATTTCCAAACGTTCCACTCACTACTACATGTCCCGTCGTCGTCGGCAAACTCTTCTCTACACTGACATATCTTTATGTCTGTGTGCGATTCACTTATGTTGTATGTACAGTGGGCCAGCTGGATGCATTGGATGTCCCGCTCACAAGGCATTCCCACCTCTGTAAACCGTTATCGATAAATTTTACATAGCTAGTATACTTAAACATTACTTTTTAATAAAACAAACTTGTCATTACCTTGTGGAGACGTTATGCAATCATCATTAATCGGATGCGTTTGGTCTGCGCAAAGACACCGCCGTTGACCGTCCACCGGATCCTTGCCGCATGACGTCTTTGGCCATGCCTTGCAATTATAATCCGTACGACACTCAGACTTTCGAATAGTGTCTGAAACCAAAGTTAAATTATGTACTTACATAAAATTTAAAAATGAATATAGAATAATATGTAATGTATGTAAAATTTAATATAAATGAATGTTTTCCATTTTTTATTATTAATAATTACATTGTTATTAGACATAACTTTGTGTTGCAACTTTATTGTTGTACGTTGTTTATAAATATAAATAACATCATATTTATTGTTTTTTATGAAGACTTTAGTCAATGATGTGTCTAGCACAAAATAATTGGGTAGGCCCATTTTGTTCTGTAATGTGTTTATAACTATTGGAAAAAATTTGTCCTATCATATGGGGTATGAGTAATGAATTTTTGGGTTTCCAATTTTGAGTTACCTTTTTTGTAACATGATTTATTTTTGTATTTTAAGAATACTAAAAAAGCAAACAATTTTTAATTATATTAATTAAAATGTCAAAAGTAACATAAATTCAGATTTAATTATTATAGACATTTAAGAAAAAACAACTTAAAAATTAACAAAATTATAAAGTTAAAATAAAAAATAATATTAATTTATAAAATAAAAGACATTTGTCTTTTTTTCTTGTTTTTGCAAACTCATCAATCACAATACTTGGATCATTTATCAATGGACTACTTAATTATCTTTCAATTGATAATATTGCAGTATTATAAAGACATTCAGTGATCATTGTTAATCTTAAATATGTCTTAAACCTGCGCATGGTTGAAAAACTTCTATCTACTTCTGTTCTTAACACAGGAATAACCAAAATTCTAGTTATTATTTTTTTTATTCCATTGAATGCTGGTTCCAAACTTGTGAGTTCTTTATGAACATCACTAATATCAACAGCTTCACTGAACATAGTTTTTACCAATTTTGACTGTGATTAGATTTGTTCTATTGTGATAGAGTTTTCTCCACATAGCTCACCTAGATACTGTAATTTTGTTATATCCATGAAGTTAGTAGAATTGGGATCACACGCATCAATATAGTCATAAGAAAATTAGTATTTTTTTCAAATCTATTAACTAATTCACTAAAAATTTAATCAATTACCTATCTCAAAGTATTGTTGTCTAAATGCAACAATTTTATTATTAGTACTTGTACGTAGTACGTAGCTAGTGTTTCATTTTTCTTATAATTAATCTTGACTAGAACATGACTATCACTACATTTTAAAGGTAAATTTGATTTTCTGTTTGTATTTAAATCAGTTATATCTAGTGATATAATATTTGCAGTTTTGGCAGCAATTTAAATTTACTTGAAAAATATATCGAATTTTTCTTTAGTTTTTATATTGGAAAGTTCTATAATAGTTGACTTAATCAATTTTAAACACTTAATAATATTTAAATTAGATTTTTGTAAATAAATAGATAAATGATTAACAATTCCTAAAATGTCATCCATGTAAAACAACATTAATAGGATTTCAAACTAACAAAATTGATTTAAGATACCTTTAGCTTCAATAGCTTCTCTTTTTTTATTGCTTAATGCACACTTTTGTAAAGCGTCAATAACACTTTGAAATCTATTTATTTTTAAATGTACTCCTTTATACTTTGACACGCATATGGTTTCACAATGTTTAAGCAATTTCATAACATTTGTACATTTCAATTATGATTTCATAAACACATTATGACGTATGGTTGATGAACTCTGAAATACATAAATTGCTTCAAGAAGACTAACTAATTCATCTAATATACATAGTCTGCATCGACTAATACTAAATTTAGCCTATGCGCGTAGCAATGTCTAAATTAATAATTTTTTTATTAATATTAATAATAACATTTTTATTTTTACTTGTGACAAAAAAAAAACCAAACAGTCAAATAAAAATTGGGTAGGCCCGGGCCTAGTCGGGCTACTCTATAAACACACCACTGACTTTAGTCATTATTTATTAAAATATATATTATTTATTTTATTTTTTATTATTCACCAGTGGTGTATTTATGATTTATGGGGGAGGGGGAATCAAGGGGATAAATCCCCCCATAGGATGTATACACACAAATAATTATAGTCATCATATTATTTTAAAAATTATTAAGTATTATTATTATTATTTTTTTATCAATAATTGATTAAATTTGCAAGGATTAAAATGTTATAATATATTGTACAATATTTTCATTGGTATCTTCATTTATAAAGTCATATTCCCCCCCCCCCATGACAAAAATCTAAATACGCCACTGCTATTCACTAAATATCAAATTAGTTATTTCTTGTTATTGTGCTATGTGTTTGTAATTTATAATGTTAAAAAAAAAAAAAACAGAAAATCGATTCCGAAAATCGTGTTTTCAAAATCAGTGGAAAAACAATCACTTGGCCAGCCAAGAAATATAACTCAGTGAAAAAAAGGTTGATCACCACTGTTATAAGATATAAATACGTATCAATGGTAAGATAATTACATTCGGAGACTAAGGACCTCATTAACTTCAACTTCGTCGGATCAGTGGTGGTGGCGAGATCACTAATCTCGAATCTCATTCACTAATTGGGACTGACCAAATCTTATAAATTTAATATCCTTTGAAAATGTTTAAGTTCTCTATCGATGCAATGTGGTATTGCAGCAACAGTATAATTATTAATGATGTATATAATACTGCTAATAATAATATATTTTGTTTCAAAGTAAAAAATAATTTATGTATTATTTACATACCTTTAGGCCTGGAGGCCGCGTTACCGGGAACTACACCTCGTTTGGCCCTCGGTGCTACAAAGGCATCGCAACAGGACAATGTAATAATCGCACATGCCGCAACCAAGACCCTGCTTGGAACGCGCATTTTGGCAGAATGGCCAAAAATCAAAGTCTTGCTTGGAAGGGTCGGTTTGGTCGTTTCCTGTCGTGCAACGCCCACGCCCTTGCCATTATTTATTATGTACATAAACACACACAAACACAAATGTGTAGTATAATAGTACTATATTTTGCTCACGTTATCTGAACATTTCAACATAAACCTTGAGTTTTACATATAAAAGTTTTAAATTTGAATACGTGCGTCGAAACGATTGTTTTGATTGACTATAACAGGGGTCTCTAAACTTTTTTATTCGAGGACCACATAAAGTATCAAAAACTCTTAGTAGGTAAAAATGTATGAACTCATACAATTTTTAATTTTATAGAAATGTAATATAATATACTTATGAGTATATTAAAAAACAATTCTAATAATATACTTAGTATTATTATTAATAATTTTTTTTTTTTTAATGATAAAAAGTATGAAATTGTTGTTTTTCTGCTAATATTTTATCGAATTAAGGTTCAATGTTGCTGATTCCAATATTGACCAAAATTGACTCTAATTGTTTGTCAGATATGGCTGATCTATATTTTGATTTAATGTATTTCATTTTTGAAAAAGTTTGTTCTCACAAATAAGTTGTAGCATACACATATTACCTACATACATTGTTAAATTGCATCTTTTTTTAAATTTGGATATATGTATCTGGAAGAAATTTATAAAACCAACTTGTCTCTTCGCGATATTTGATTTTTAATACATTGTTATATTGCAAATCAATCATATTTTTGGAAAAGTTGTCAAATGTTTTGTTTGATAATGTCTTCAAATATTGTACTCCTTAAGTACAGAAATACTTTTTTTTATTTAAACATATTATTTTGTTATCTGAAAAAATGACCAAATAATCCGCAAAGACCACTTCTCATTAAAAACATAGCATTTTAAATTATCAGATAAAGCGAATAATTATTATAATAAATTCACTGCAGACGTAGGTGTAGAGGTAATACTAAACTGACGTTTTTGATTGATATCGTCACTAATACTTAATCTCTCTCACTGTTTAAATGTAATCGTTCAGCTTATAAATAATTATAGTACAGCCGATACAGGTCATAATTGATACGTGTGCACGATAACAACTTAGAATATTAAACATATTTTTAGATATTTACGGTCCTTTGGGAGTCGGTTAAAACTTATTTATGAGCCGTAGTTTGGAGACCCGTAGACTAAATTATAGGTAGGTTTATAATATAAGCATATAACATTTTTGATGAGCGTGCTTGAGAGCAATATCATTGGTATTTATTATTATGACACTGTTGTCAATATTTGTGACTACACTTGTCCAAATATTACATGAAAATCAGGAAATGATAAATACCACTCTTAGGTACACGCTATTTAAACCTTTAAATGATTATAGTTTATTACTTTATGGTTTTACAAATATTTAAAAATACATTTGTACAGTTATTATGAACTACCACTATAGCGAGTGATAATTTAAATAATATAATTTTATATTATACAAAATTAATAATATAATTTAAATTTTTGAAGCTAGTAAGTTAAGATAAAAATAATTAATTAAAATCGTTTATAAAAAGTTCAAAAAGTTTAAATCGTTTGAATAAGGTTAAACCAGAATTTAAAGATGAAATTAGTTATTAATATTATCTGTAATGACAAATATAACTATGTACGAGTATTTTAAAACATTTTGGTAAAATGTTGAAAACGTTCGATTTTAATGTGTTCAAACAACCACAATGGATTGATTTGCGATGAAATTCCGAAATGACAGTACATAGACACATTATTCAATAGACTAAATTCAAAAACGGATGAACCGATTCAAACGTTACATTTTTTTCTGTGTTTGGTGAGTTTTTTGTTAGATTTAAAGCTATTAATTCTTATTAATATGTAGTTATTTCATACATATATATAATTAATATGTTTACCATAATCATGATTCATTGTTATCAATCATTACTTCATTAGGTATATGCAGATATGTAACCGATTGTTGACAATAGTTGTCATCGTTCGTTTGGCTGTTCATGAATTCGACGTCCATGAGCTATTTTTTTTTTTTTGATTCTTAATTAATTGACTATGTTAATGTACAAGTAGTTAGAGTGGTTAGCCGTTAGTTACTTCTTACATAACTAAACGTTAAATATTTACACTAAAAAATCATTCATTGACATAGAATATGCTTCAGTGGCGCCAAACCCTATGTTAATGGAGGACAATTATTATCCTACATATAAAATTGGTGATGGGTGAGTAAATTTATTTTGGTAGCTTAAACAACCGAATGTGTGGTGGATAGAAGTTTGTTTTAAATGTTTGTCCTACATATTTTTTTTTTTACTTTGGCGCCACTGAATTATGCTTAATATGAATAATTATTATTTTGTTTATACTTTTACTAAACAAAAACATAAAATTCATAAAATTATGTGCTCTCTACAACATACAATTTCAACAAGCACTAGTATATAATCAAATAAAAATATATTTCCAAATATTTATTTTAGATTTTAAAATACGCAGTCCCTGTGTGGGGAAATTGTGTAAAAACCCACATGGTCACATACACAAAATACAGGTTTCCAATCAAAGGTATTGAGAACCATTTCTATTGCTCCATTGTTTGTACGTAACGATGCACTCCACAAAGACTTTCAGATACCCACAATAACTGAGTACATTAAAAAATTATCAATTAACTTTTTCGACCACATCAATTCAGCTCACAGTGCGAAATTTTATAAACTAAGGGACCCACCTATTATACGCTGACTCAAACGAGGTCACCCACACGACCTGTTATTATAATTATAACTATAAATATTTACTTATTAATTTAATTTAATTTAATTTTCTTCTGTCTGTAAATAATTTAAAATCTAGTCAATAGTTTTTTATTAATAATTTATTTATTATTTTACTAATTGTTATCAATATTCAAAATGCTAAAAAAAAAAATGTAACTCAATAACAATAAGTTAGGATGACTTACGTCAGTAAAACTTTAATTAATAAAAATTATAAAAAAAAAAAAAAAATTTAAAATACTTACCTTCCATGAAAACAATAAATTTAAAATGCAATCAATATATTTTTTTCTGTGTACCTATATTAAAAAAAAAAATAATAATGATTTTAATAATTGATGTAGATTACGCAGCTATATATCAAATTATTAGTGATCCCTACAACCCTTCACTATTTATGAAGGTATAGGTACTAATAGAATAAAAATATAGAAACCTAGTGTAATCCGCTTATGTACCTAGTTAATAATCACTATCATTCTTTCCAATAAATTCTTATCTATAACTCCGATGAATAGATTTATATTTTAGTGTGAAAAATCACTATACCTTTCATATTGAATATTTAAGCATACTTTTTGGATATAAAAAGTTGTGTTTCCAAACACGAAAAACGCATACCTACATCGTTGAAAAACCGAAAAATTCATTACTCCACTTAAAATTTAAAACGTTTATTCGAAAACGATATAAATGTTAAAAATGTACGTATAATAATAACAACAAATATACATACTCTGTGTATATCAATATAATACATATGTATATATTAACTCGAGGCGGTCTTGATGACCCTATTTTCGATGGTGTGGGTCGCATGGCTCGTTCTCACGCTATGCTCTTAAAATTTCCACTTTATCAAATACAATGACGTTCGTTTTATTATATAGGTACCCTTAGATTGTGGTACCTGATAGTGTTTAAATGTTACTATCGAGCGAATAAAAAATCGTTGTCGATGAACGCTAGATATAGGTAGGTACGCAGGATTAACTATTTTTTTATGGGTTTTGCATTATCTTGCTTGTAATCATGAGCATTATAATTAGGAATAAATGGAAATTAAAAAATATATTTGTGTATTTCATTATAAATAATTAGTATGCTAGGGAGTATATGTACCTATAATAATTTTTAACTTTTGTAACAGGTAACAACCAGAAAACACGGTATATTAATCACTTGCTATTGTTGAAAAATTCTAAAAGTAGGTGAACACTAAGTAGGATAAACTTGGGTAAGTAAATACAGCGAAAATTCATCGCGACGTCCGCTAGATATCGACAAGTGATATTATTAATCTGAATGCTATAGTATTCTTGTTTGAATAAAATTATTGTAGACCATGTTTTTTATGTTTCCTCGGAAATCTTCCTGCAAGTTTTCGTCACAACGAAAATATCAATTTTTAAATCTTAATTGATTAAATACAATTATTAAGCTGTGCATTTAATCACACCGCATCATAACCGAAATAGTAAGGTATCGGTCAATTATCATTGAAACTCGATGTTTTCAAAACGCAAAACAATTTTCAAAATATTGTAGCTCTTTTTATGAACGGTGTTCTACAAAATATTAGACTGTTAAAATTTTTTCCGATTTATGTACCATAATAGAAAAATTGATTAAAATTAATTTAGTCCTATATAATCTTAAAAATTAAATTCAAGATTTCTCATAAGTTGTATGCAAGAATTAGAAAAATATCAAAAACAAAAATTCACCATTATATTATAAAAGTTTAAGTTAAAAAAAATGATGAAATGTGCAAATAATTTTGTAATTTGTACCTCACTCAAAATTCATAACATTTTTAATTCGAATACCTAAAACTTGAAAATTTAATATAAGATTTATTTTAAGTTATTTTCATTAAAATTAAAAAAAATATTTACATAAGCCCACACAAGTATTTTACAATTATTTAAAATAGGTATTGATGACAATAACGATTTTTCTTAACACAGTATTTATTTTTTATTGTTATTAGTTATTACTTATTAAACAAATATTAATTGTAATTAAGTATATTATTTTTTTACATTTGAAATTTAATTTTTAAAAAAACGTTTACACAATATTAATTAGGTATACTATAATAGTAGTCATATCATGTATAGCGTTAGTATCATCGCACCGGCTTAATAATTAATATTAATAATATGATACTGTAATAATCAATCAAATAATGTAC